AGTACTCATCGATTTTAGCCGACTCGAAAAAACTTGAGAAAGGTGAAATCGAGACTTTTTTTTATAATTGTTGAAAATTAATTAAATCGTGTTAAACTAATTTAACTAATTGCTTTTAACTAAAAAATTAACTAATTGTATTTGTATTTCAGCATAATTAACCGATAGCGTTAAAAAACAACGAAGTAGATCTACGAAGCAATCGATAGACTTGATGAAGTGTAAATACAATGTACATACACGTTAATAAACTATTGATAAAAAATATTTTCCATCAGAATATCGAGAATGTGACAAAAATCGAGGAACATGTGCAAAAGGAAGAACAGTAAAACAATGAAATACATATTACTTTAATAAGAGCGTGGAATATACACAATATGCAAATTAAAAAGTATAACCGGCTAGATACGTTACACTATTTACAACGTTTCAGAAACTAAGAGGAAACACAAAGTAATTAAAAATAATTTTCGCAATGGCATCGTGTAGCATTCATTCGAAGATTATATACGATTCTCAGCGAGGAATTTGCAGAAAGCGGAAAGGTTTGCGCGGACAAAGCGCGAATGAAAAACATGCGCGCAGAAAGGCACGCGAGAACAAAAGGATACGCGAAGAACGACGGAGACAAAGGCCGAGACTTAGGGATAGAAATAAAAAAAACAGAATTTTTTTCGTGTAGAATTCTTCAGTAACTCGAAGATAATTCGAACGGGTGGAATTACCTTGAAACGATAAAATGAGGACGAAGCGTGACCTGGAAGAATCTATTCAGGGAAACAAAAAGAATCGAACTGCCGGCATCAAATATGTACATCATTAAAAGAACAAAAGTATTTTCGAACTCCGTTCTTTTGTTCCATATAGTTAAACGATGAATCAATTTTGACCGCCTTTTCTTCTACACTCATAGATAATCACAGAACCAAAAGAAAAAAGGAAAAAACGAAGAGGAAAAAAGGCGACGAAGGATGTGAGTTCCCCAGCTTTTTTTCTAGCCTCTTCCTTGGCCGAGGCCGCGAGCGTCGCGTTCGATAAATTTAACGCGCGCATTATATATATTATGGACATGTACATACGTACGTACATGTATATACACATGGCTATGCGTGCATACGTGTGTCAGTACGAAAGGGATACAGTGGAAGGATGAGAGGAGGCTGTGAGAAAGAGGGAGGTAGAAAAAGAAGGCGACAGAAAAGATAAAAATGGGGATGGGGCAGGGAGAGATGCAGAGATCGGACAGAGATCGAGCGAACAGAGAAACAGGGGAAAAAGGGGGAGAGAGAAGGAGAGGGAGAGAAAGAGGGAGCAGAGAGAGAGGTAGAAAGAGGGAGAGAAGGAAGAGTGAGTAGAGAACTGTGCGCGCCGCAGCGCTACGGGGTGGTTGCCCTCGTCTGCGCTTTGTGGGAAATGCCCGCTCAATAACGCGTAGGTCCTCGTCTGCCCCTTCTCACCCTCGGAGGCATCGCAGCAAGGGCCACTGCCCCAAAAGGCACGACCACCCGTCGAACAACCCTTATTCTACTCTCCCTCCTACCCATAAGACACTCCTCGAATCTTCCTCCTTCTACTACTCTCTTCCTTTTCCTTCCACGACGTCTCGTACGTCAAAAAAAGATCGAATCCTTGCCTTTACACTTCGTCCTTTCGCCGTCTCTGAGAACACAGGAGGATCCAATGGACGTCGATGTACCGATTAATGTTGAGATCGGACGCAATTCGTAGACGGGAAGCGGTGGATGCGTTCTGTTATCAAGCCGGAGGTTGTGAAGCGTGTAACTTGTTCCTTCAGATTGTCGTTATCGATCAAATAGATAAACATAGTTTAATTGTAACTGAATAGTTATACTCTATGTTTTAAGTAGGACTTGTGAGAGAGAAAGGGAACAGGGTGTTAGCAACCGGTTACCACAAGAAGATTCGATCCACAGGATTAACGATATTAATCTTCCTGGAAGAAAGAGAAGATTGAAAATATCAAGATAAATTAAATGATAAATTTCCGAAGAAAAAATTAATACTAGGTCGCCACTGATGTGTATACTAATGAAGATATTCAACGAGATATAAAAAGGATGTTTATTTAATCGTAGAAGAGACGATTTCTATTGGCAAACATATTTGTTAATTTACATTTACGTTGAATTTTTCTACGTTTTATAAATTAAACGTGCGAGAATGTTTAATTGCATCCTTGCATTTTAGCTTTTGGGAGAAAGTGGTCGATATCTGCTCAGTATTCCGAGTTACCTCACCCTCGTTCCAGGCATGGTGGAACCCCCAAAGATCGTTCGGGCAATGACCTCGAGATTATATATTCTGCCGGTATAGGGTAGTACAGGGTTATTCCCCCTGAATTTGTCCGCGGAGCTGTACCTTTTATCAAATCGCATTGAAGCCGTAACGCGACGCAAAGAACGCACGTGCTTGTTATGGAAAATAAAAAGAAGAATAATAGAAAAATCTGACAAAGAGCGAGAGAATACATTGTAAACATTGACAAAATAATGAAACATATTCTAGAACACTTAAGAATAAAACGTTTTATTAATTCCATTTGATTTTACATTTATGATGTACTTTATTGAAACACATTGAAACTCAGCAACTTACCTCGATACACCGAGCCTCGTATCTTCCGGCATCGGGAATATAAAATAGTCGATACACCCTTAACGGATTTATTTCATCGAATTACTTGATGACCCTTCTCGCAAAGGATCGGCCTGCATAGGCTTTGCATAATAATTCCACGTCAAAGAGAGTAAATTGGCATCGGTTATAGTTTTCGTGGCGGATGGCATTTATAAGCCGCGCTCGCTACATCCACCACCTACCGGATCAATAAGTACTCTTCTTGTTTCATAGGAACTGTTTCCTTCTGCATAATCTCTCTCTCTCTGTATTGTGATAATATCTGACATTTCGTTACAGCACCGTGTCACTTCATATCAACGCAGTCCAAGGGAATCCCACGCGACTATTTCAACGTTGGACAATCCTGTGTAGTCCTTTTTGTAAATCACGCATCTGTTCACGAATTATGGAATAAATCGTGCAATGAATTTCTCGTAAACGCGCGTTCGGGAGTTGATCGTAACAGGGGTGAAAATCAGAAGGGCATTAAATGGGTACATTAACTGTAAGTTATTTCGTTAGGAATGATAAAACTCTAAAAGGAAATTAGGCTGCTTCTTGTAATTAGCATTTTGCAAATTTATTCATCGCAACAAACGATGTCAGATTTCGAGAACCAGTCATCTCGAACAAGATGATTTTTTCACTGTTTCTTTGAACAGGTACATTCTTCGATGTTCTATTTTCTCTCCTTAATTTCCTCAAATTAACAAGTTGCAACGAAATCGAACGTTGACTATACTCTGTTCTTTTTATACCGACTATTCCAAAACGATGTCAGCCGCATTTACAGCTGAATATCTGAAAGAAATTAGTTCCTTCCATTAAAGGGGTATTAATAGGAATAAACAGTTAGGGGATTAAACGATCGATACGTTCATTACGTGCCACTTTATCAATGGGAGAATTCTGAGACGCGTCGGGGAAAAAAGTTCAGGGAAAGCAGAACCGTTCTATACTCCGGTCGGAATAACTCCGATTCGGATTTTACAGCATGCGTGCAAATAGATGCGTAGATACCGGCCGCTCGTATCTATTTATAACGGCGACGGATCGCGGGGCAATTGACCGCGTGGCCTTGACTTCCTGTTGACCCGAGTGCCCCTAGGGAATTTTGGCGTACCTCGTG